AAGATACCAAAGGTACTGAAAAAGAACTTGATAGAACATTCTTCCATTGCCTTGGACCGAAGAAAAGCCAACTTCTATGTGCTCTGCACAGTGTGATTGGCTTAAAAAATTCTAGGGGTAAAATCACCTTTCTTTGTCCAAATTAAGCTAGGAGACAAAAGGCCGCGTTGCTTTTACAGGTATCACTTGATAGGCAAGCTCTTTCCACTTCTCAAGAAAAGCAGCTGATTTGTATGTATGTATATCATCAATTTTTATTTAGCATCATGTATATAGCATGAATATGTTTCAATATCTAAGCTCTTTCTTATTTCAATGTAGGTTATAATTCTGCTGATATTTTTTCAGATAAATGTTACTTGCCATTGACCGAAATACATTAGTATGACTTACAGAAGGTGACTTACAGAAAAAGCATGCTGACCTTAATATTTGGTCAACACCTTGAATTTCCTTCCATGTTTTGTGAAGCCAATCAGTTGCATGCACTAGTAACATCTTCCCGAAGTGTAGCAGAACACCCTGAAATATTTAGGTTGAAATTTCAACTGCATTGATTATTTTATACTCTTCTCAAAAGTAGTTACCAATATAGCTTGTCAAAGTTTGCATGTTTTTGGTGATATCTCGTGCTCTTGATCTCTTCAGCTTGTGTTAATAGGAATTGTGGGTTGTTCTGTGCTTTCTATCACAGCATCATGCTGTGGTTTAAAAAAAAAAAAAAGTACGATTAGTAAATGTTATGACCCCAAGCATGTAAATCAAAAGGGTATAGTCAGTGCAAGAGCAATGATATGTTCTTATTATAAATGGGAAATAAAAATGTCCTTTCAAGTTATTCTTGTCCAGTATGTATTGGCTGGAGTAGGTAATTGAGTGATGTCACGAATTTGAAAGCCTCATCATACTATAATGCAAAACTACAATTTAGCAATGACTGTTTTAAAGCGGAAGGGCAAAGGTATGTTGATTGGATGGAAGCTGATTAAGAAGCTGTCTCGGAATTGGTTGTGGAGGCCATCCTTGTTGTCCTATGGTGAAAGGAGGAGAGTTCAGTAATGGTTTAACTACAATTAAATCCCTCCCCTTTCTTTCTGGAAGCTCAACTGTAGGCATTTCAGCATTAGGCTAAACAATGGTTTTGAATATGTTAAGCCCCTAACAATTAGGGTGCAGTTTGGGGCATTGAATAATGTGGAGTGATGCAATTGAACCTGACAGCTTCAACAGTCAGCCTACTCATGGGACCTGAAAGTTGTTCACACTTGGTTTCATCTCTCATCACACGCTGAGTATTAAAACCTTACTGGTGTGGAGCTGAGACAGAAATGAGGCCTGTTATCAGAAAATATTTCATAGCATAGAACTTGAAAGGAACAGGGGAATTGGTGTGCTCCAGGGTTCTCCAGTTTTTGGGACCTGATGCAATTGTGTACAGCTAAGCATTGTTGCATTTCCCCCCACCCCCCTTTTTTTTTTGGCTTAAAAAATATTTAACTTTTTACATGAAGAAACTGTATTCCCTGGAAAATTAAAGAAATGTCCAGAATGCTAATGCAAAACTTTATATTCACAGTGTTATATACTAAAATACAATTTCGAAGTCATGTAAACATTAGAGGAATACAAAAGTATTTTAAATATTCCACAGGATATTGATACGTACTAGTTAAATCCAGCTAACTTGGAAATGCAGTCCTTTGATTAGAGGAATACCCTCTCCTTCCTGTAGCAGAGGAAGTGTTTTTAGGCATCCATCAAATATTGGGCATTTATTCCTATTGCAGTCGGGCACTCTGTGAATTACAACGTATCTTCTTTCTGTGCTGCTCTGCTGCTTATTGCTTTACTGATTTATTGAACATGCCATAAATGAAAGCAGCGTATTATATACCTCTTGATGGGCTTAAATCCTTCTGCAAAAATCTTTTGGAGAAAATTTGCAGCCTTTTCAAAATACCTACTTAGCAGCCTCTTTATTAGTTCGTCCATTTTGATCGTGCGTTGTGTTGACTGTTTAAATGGACTCGGTTGGAACAAAGACTCCTATGCCTTTAAAAGTTTGGGATTTTAGAGCTTGTTTCAGTCCTGTGACCTTAATATGTATTGACAGGATGATTGCGCATTTTTAATAAATGCTTGCTACAGCTTGTTTCAACTGTGAGTGAAACATGAAGCTCCTATTTCACCTTTAAATAATGTAATACTCCTCCACCTCCTCTACTCTCCTGTCAGATGAAGTCGTCACATACATAATAAAGCTTCACAAATCGTTATTCTTGTCATTTTACATTGCCATTTAAAAAAAGTATTTCCATTTTTTTATTTACCTCCAGCTTACTTGAACAATTTTTTTCTAACGTGACTTTTTGCTTGGAGAGCCGCACAGGACCCGTGATGTCACCACAACTTCCGTACTTCCAGCGTGTTGTGGGACACCTTGGCTATTATTTTAAAGTATAAACAGGGGTTAAGTTTAGGGTGAACCACCACTTGTGAAAAAGATCAAGTTCTTAGATATTGTTTAAATCATGCTAAGTCTTTTGATCTGTTATATCAGCCCACTTGGCAAACATTGTTTAATTCCTTTGATGTCTTCTGTTTTGTGATGTGATAGTTACTCAACAGACTTCAGCGACTCCTTTCAAGATACTGAGATACTTTTTAGAAAGTTCTTAAAGCTATTCGGGCATGTTTCAGTCAAATAAACGTCTGTTCTCCTTGCTGATTATAGCTGCCCTGCCGTTATGAATTAATATATATAGTTGTTACTGTACAGTTTTAAGCAGCCTCACAGTGAACTACACAGAAGGAGAGTAACAACAATACAGCAGCTTCTGTGTAACACATGAGCAGTAAAGTTACTAGAATTAAGAAAAATCTTTTATAGAAATATGCTAAAACTAGACACCAATAACATTATGCTAAGAACTAGCAAGCTGTATTAAAATTCGTAATCACAACCCATTTATTTATATTAATAAGAGTGTATAGATTTTTAATTTGCTAGCCTTGTCTCTTAGATATGGAAGCAAATAACGGCTGTATCTTAACATGTTCTGTAAGATTTCTTCAGTGAAAGGCTTTTTTTTTTTTTTGAGAGGAAAACAATGAAAATTTACTAATGAGCAATAGTAGTTGATTTGAAATCACTCTGTGTGCTTATGTTGAAGAAAACAGCAGGAGTTGTGCACTCTTGCCTTCTGCATCAGTAAGTGTCACAGTCCTAATACGTATTGTATTACTGGGAGCTGTTGTGTCCAGGTAGGTGGAAATGCCCGTGTTATTTTAAGGCTTAAAATGAATTGAGATTAATTCTACTGGAGACAGACAGTTCTGTAAGAAAAAGAAATAAGAGCCAGATTTGAAGTGAAACTGCAGTTCTGTGTCTAGCAATCTCGCACATACCTTTAAAATGAGAAGTGAAAAAAGCCTCATCATTGTAAGTAATTACTTGTGGCTTTTCCGAACTTCGTGACAGTAGAAGAATGCAAGTATCAAGCGCAATTTCTCACCAGTATATAGTAAATAAAGCATCATTGAAAACAGTTGTGTGAATTCATAAAAGTCCATTCATCAAGTTTAATATGTTGGCTGAAAGCCAAAACTTAATGGTAGTGTGTGATTCTTTCCAGAGACATAGTTTATACTCTGTAATATTTTGCTGTAATAACCAGTATGTTTCCCTCGTCTCTTGTGTGCAGTTAGACATGTCAAAATGTCCCACAAATTGAGTTCCTTACTGTTCACTTTTTTTTTTCCATTTCTAAAAAAAAAAAGTTTCCTTTGTAAAGGTTGTTTACTTGCTCTTAAAATGTTCATTCTAAAATGTAAGATCACACAGTTGTGTATCTGTGTATCCCCCCCCTGAATATTGCAATCTTTTTTGTTTGTTCTGAAATAAGTCCTTTTGTCAGGTAGGAAAATGCCTTTTTAATAAGCAGCACTGCCTTTTTTTTTTTTTTTTCCTTTGATTGCTTGTCTCCTTGTCTCTGAAACTCAGCGTTTGACACAAATCTTTTCTTCGAAAGGGGAAAAAGCATAAGTGGCCAAGGAGGAAGGTATTTTTATTGCGTTGGATTATGCAAGATTTTGGCCAGCCTCCTTAGCTTCATCTGTTTAAGGGTTCATTTTCGCTTGTTTGGCACAAGTCCCAGCAGAGACCTTCAGAATTGTGGTTAGCAACATGAATGAACACAAACTTTGGGAGCTCTTCAATAAGTAGAGCTGGCCCGCGGCCAAAAATACAGTCCCTTATATGGGGTCAGGGCAAAGCTGGGATTCGTTGAGCCCCCTATTGTATAGAAAACATACTTGTAATGGCTGTTTGCGTTCTTGAAAATAAAAACAAAACACAACAAAAAAACACCAGGCTTCCGAAGTCTATCAAAATAGGAAGTAACAAAATAGTGTGCAGGTTTTACTAATGATGGAGCAGAGCAAAGGAAATATGGCTCGGTGTAGTTAAACTATAGAGCTGAAAGTTGGACCTTTTGACCTCCACAGCCGGCTTGTGATGTAAGGAACCCGAGCATTTGTGAGACATCTGTTGTCTACCTGCCCTTATTTTGTAAATGGTTTAATAAGATTAAATAATTAGTAGGATAACCACATGGTCGCCATGCCACTAAGTCCTAGCACTGAGTGCATACTTGGGGATTGCAAGGGGGTCTGCCCACCCTGTTCCGTGGTGGGTGTTTTAAAATGCAATTTAGGTACTTGTAATGTTTGCTACAATAAACATTTACTAGAAGTTTTTAAAATTAACATATCTACCAAAGGCTGTACTTTAATACTGGATGTGTTTTGAAAATACTGCAGTTCTATTTCCTCACTCACATATGGAAAGTACATTTTTCTGTTGAATGCATTCCATTTTTTTTAGGTTAACGTTAAAAAAAATACAAATTATTGTGCAGTAGGAAGACTTCTTGAAAAATATATTCAGTATTCCTCCCCATTTTCAAAAAGGGATTCAAGTTTTAATTGGTTTCTTGCAGGCAAACACACTACCCGGATCTTCTCTCAGTCTGCCTCCATCCCACATGTATGGCAATAGGCTGAATCCCAATTCAGCCATGGCAACACTTATAGCTCAGACTGAAAACAGCCAAGCAGGTAAGCTTCCCGGTGGTGCTGGAAAAACGGTGATACTTTATGGACTTCAGTATTTTTTTAAAAAGATTGTTTATTTCCAAACTCTGCCCAGCATTTGGTTATTAAATGTCTGTATAAAGTTACACACGTTGGAAGTAAATTCTTGGTTGTGCAGAACCGCTTTTTTCTTTTTCTATTTCTTTTTTTCTTTTTTTTTTTTTACTGTCTGAAATGTAAATGTTTAAGCAGAGCCATCAGCAGGCAGGAATGCAACAATGTCTCCTGTGACTTCTGTGATTGATGTGTTCAGTTCTTAGCTCTTTGCAACGAGAGTAACACAGCTCTGGGTTTTGTCGTGAATAGTTTAAACCTTTATTTGCATAATTCATGAAATTGCATTACATACAACTTGGGGTGAAAGAGATCCGTTAGCGAACTTCTGCAGCATTCAGTAATCTTGTGAATATTTACCGATTGACATTTGGTAACATTCGCTCTCCTCTCCAGTTTTAATGAGCCACTGGATTTGCTTTGTTTCATTCCATCCGTTCGGATTTGTTGACATGTCGTAGTAGTCATGCCTGTTTGGGGGAAGGGAATGAGTTTAGCAGTTTACCAAGAATGGATCAGTCATGTCTTTGCCCTCCGAGAGGTCGGGGGTCACTTGACTCAGAATAGGGGGAGGGCAACCTTGAAGGGGGCAGATAGGGTTATTTTATTGAGAGGCCATAGGGAAAATAACCCTTTTGAGTCCTTCCAAGCAAAACGTTTTTGTATATTTAATGAGGCCTTTTTTGTTTGTTTTACTACCTTTTTAGCAAGGGACTTTCCTATACTTCTGCTTATAAATAGGAATTTGTGAATTACACGCTTTCATAAAGTTTTCAGTAAATTTGCAGAATAACACGTGCTTGTTAGGCGGTGGTGGTAAGTTTAATGCGTTACGTATTTTATGAGTTGTTTTGGGATGCAAAGTGTTAAAAAAAAAAAAATACAGAGCATCAGGATTTGCTGTGATAAGCATACAGATTAGCTGTCCACAGCTGTGATTCATTACTTTCACCGTAGAAATTAAAAGTGGCTGAGGGGAGGGTACTGCAAATGCAAACCACGCTTCTGTGCTGTAAAACTGAAAGGAATGAAAGAAGGGAACATAATCCATGGCCTGGTACAGCCTCAGAAATGTGTAAGGACAACACCTTACATGCTACAGTTCAGCAATCTTAAACTAGTTATGGATTCGCTCTTCAGTGCTAACTGCGGAGAGAAGTTAAGATTTAAGATATTTTAAAAATATCTACATCAGCTTTAAAACTCTTATCTAAGAAGAAGCGATTTATCAGCTGTGAAATATTTACACTGCAGATCAAGATCTTGGAGATAATAGCCGCAGCCTCGTTGGCAGAGGAGGTTCGCCCAGAGGAAGTCTCTCACCACGGTAAGCGTTATTTACATTGGGGAGTGCAGGCAGAGGAAATGTTTTAAGATTTGGAAACTTCACTGTCTTTTTAGTAGTAATACGTAAGCGTTTTAAAAGCCTGTATGTATAAATATATATATCAAAAACCCTAACATGTCCAGATAGCTGAAAATGGTCTGAAATTTATATTGCTGAAATCAGGTTTACAAAGGAAGGCCTTACGAAATGGAGACTTGCTTGAAGGGATTTATTTATCATTTAATCCACGCATACTACCTCCTCACAATACAATTACCTCCTCAGATTTATTATTGTAATTACATTTTATTCAAATTTGCAAAAGTCTGAAAACCCATAGACTTGAAGACTACAAAGATCACAGTTAAGAGACTGTCTGAGAAATTAACTATTAGTAAACAGTTTGAAACAAATTTCCCTCACCACGTCAAATATGCGGTGGTTCTTAGCAGGGGAAAAAAACAACACTTTTTGTTCTGCAATTCACCTCTACTGCAGGAGGCTGATATAAGAGTTCTGGTGCTGGAATTCTATCAAATTACTTTGATTTAAAATATTTACTGTTAAAATTTCAAATTTGCGTAGTAAATACTTCAGTAGTATTTTCCATTTATATATATATATAGAGAGAGAGAGAGAGAGGGAGTACATCTTTTTGTTTTTAAGGGTTTCATTTTCCATTTTGGATCTTATGTTGATTACCTTATGTATCGATATTAGATTTTTTTTTTTTAACCGAGGGACTAAGCGTAGGAATTTTATCATAACTAATTTTAGTATGTCTAAAAAAATGTAGTTACACAGATACAGCATTGTGACAATGAATTTTATTGTTACACCCAGTGTTCATTGTAGTAATTGATCATGAATATCTCAAATTAGGTAATTTAATGTACATGTCTTGTTGATCTTGTGTTATATTCCTTAATTAATCAAAAGGCTTCTTGTTGAATTGGGTGAGAATGTCCATTATAATACTTAAGTGGTGTTACCTATTCATGAACTGGCTTTTAAGATTTCAAATGCATGTTCCTTCTAAAGCAATAAATAGAGAATTTACAAATTAGGTTAGACTCTGTTCTTTGTATAAAAATGTGTATTTATATTACCATATAATGACTTATATAAATAAGAAACATGCCTGTATATATCTGCAGAAGTAGGTTAGAGATTTTTGCACAGGGAAATGCTCCACAATTAGGAAATTCCAGACCCTTGATATTATGTAATCATTAAGTAGTCCTCGTATGCACATGTGTTGTGGTAATTAGAAGTTTTAGTGCTTATTCAGTTGTTTTGCAGAGGCCTGGGTGCTGTATGATCCGAGGTGGCCTGAGTTGTTATTCAGGCTGGCTTTAGACAGAAAATTTCAAAAGCTAAACTCCTTAAATATGTTTTTAACTCATATTTAAAACACTTTTATTGGCTGTATGCTCAGGGTATATGTAGTCCAGTGTTTATAATATAATTAGATTTCAGCTGATTTTCATTAGCATCGTAAAGGAGAACTACACGATTCAAAAGCCATCTCAGAGCAGACTTCCATCCAGATCTACCTTAAATCTGGGGGGGGAATCGCTACTGTATTTCTGAAATCGAAAGATGAAAAACAATCAGCCTGAAATATCTAGCATGAAAAAAAAAATAGAAAACGTGCCTGTGTAAGTTCACTAGCCAGGAAATTTTACTGCTGGTCTGCAGTGTGTTTCTAGCTATTTAACATAGCCAGTGCCTAGCAATCTGCTGCTGTTGCACACAGCATGCAGTCGCTTCTGAATTGTTTAGGTAATTCCTCACTGTCCTGAGTTAAATAAATAATTAACTTTGGTTAGTTAAAATACGGTTTATGGTGAATAAAAAGCTAACACTGAAAATCTGCTATCTGAAAACTTTGCGATGTTACTTGCACTATGTATTATAAGTATTTTTCCTACAAGTTAAGATTCGTCCCTTTGAAGCTTATGAGATTCCTAAATACCACTTCTCCAAAAGAACAGTGATTTCAAAATAGCTGTTTAAAAATAAAAACATTCGAGGAAAGAAGTGTTTGCTGTTGATGACAGCTGATTGCTCCTTTCTCAGAAGATGCGTGTGACTCACGAGCTGTGTGGTCATTTCAATTTCATATTGCTGTATCTTTGTACCCCCACGTAATCAGAGTTTGATATTTAAGCTCTCATGGTTAAAATAGTTATATAGAGAATATGAAATATGTGTGAAATATAAATATACAGGGGATATGTGACATGTTTCTGTTTTGTAAAGAAATTGCTGCTTTTCCCAAGGTAGCACTTAAACTCTTTTCACCCAACACTTCGTCTTAAATTTAAGAATGTGTTTCGTCATACCTGCATTGTTATACGTATATATGCCTATATCTAAATACAGATCACTTGTGGTACTACTTACAATTAATACTGTAAGAGTATGGATAGTATATCCCAAACAAAACAGTTGTGAAAGTAAGCAATATGTGAAACATGAAACAGAAGGGATTGCCATCTCAGTGGCTGCATCAAAGCTTCGCATACAGCACATTTATAATACGACTGGAAAAGAAGATCACATACTGTTTGGAATGAGGATTCAAACCTAGTGTGCAGAAACGATCATATATAAGGGGTGAAGTAGAGGATCAGCTGGAAGAGGATGGATTGACTAATGTTGATAGAGAAGTCTAGATTTTTTCCCCCCTCTCTAGAAGCTTCCAGGGAGGGGTTGGGAGTTTATGTAGTTGGGTGTTGCTTTATTTTATGCTTTTATGAAGTTGACAGGAAACGGTCCTAAGCCCAACAAGACTTTTGTTGTTGATTTTTGCTTCACGTGGAATAATCTGTTAGGGTAGCGTTACGTGCCTGTAAAAGTGCATGCAGAGAAGTTGCTGGGGTGTGTGTGTGTGTATGCTTTTTGCTTGTTTGTTTAATTTGAATCGGTTGTTTGTGCAGAGTGTAGTACATCTGTTCAGAATGTTTCTGCATAAACTTCCATTCTTATCACTTCAGCATGTCATGTAAACAACTAGTTTTAAGGCTGTGTTTTTCGTGTCTGTGCTGACCTGTTAAATGCTGTGGAGTTGTCATCTCTTGTCAAAAAGCACTGCCTTGGTTACCCATTCATCAGACTTCTTTTAACAAGTGTTGCTCCTCTTTCATCCTGTATGCAAAAGAGGAATATTTAGAAATACCTACAGAGCTCTTAAGTCACCTACTTAAAACCTTTTCTCATAAAAATCACTTTGCTCTGGTGCCTACACAATGCTTGACAGTCATTAGGTAGCTAATGTGCTGTGACCACCGCTTATTACACTAATCATAATTAACACACTGATTTCCTGAGTGCTCTATGTTGGCCTGTACTGGGACCGCGGTGGTCTTGTTGGTAAGTTTGCGCTGTGTTGAGCAGTACAGCTGCGATCCTCTGTTGGGGCAAATATTTATTACTACAGTAATAGCAGATACATAAGAACCTGAATTTCAGCTCACTCGAGTTGATTTAAAAACAACCAAATAAGAAAACCCAACAACTTTTAGTGGGCCTTGGCGTTGATTCTGTGTGAAGGGCTATGCGTACAGGAGGCCAGAATTACAGAAATACACTGAGGGTCAGCTCACAGGTTAGATTTTGCCCTATGCAATGAAAAAGAAGCCTTTTTGTAGGACTTGAGGTTATCTTATAGTGGCTGTATGCTGAATATTTGATTTTTTCCTGGACAAGAAGAGGCATGTTGCAAAGGGATTATTCTTTAAACTATGTGTGATTGTAAGCAAAAAAGAAAAAATGTACTTGAAGTGTGCACAGGACAAGCAGAGGACAGCTTCCATTGTGTCCCTTGTGAAATAATATTTTCCTGTAGTCCTTCAAAAATCTGTTTTTACATGATTTTTTTTAGAACAAGTTAGGCAGTGAATTTGTATGACCTTTCTGTGTGGAAGTGCTATTCTGTGCTAGTCTGTACGCAAGAAGTTGTGTGTTTTCCTGGTATAAATTCTCATGCTACGAAATATTATCATTAGTATTTAAATCCAAGCCTTAGTACTGAGAGCCAGGAGTTCTGGCTGATTTTGATGAACTAGCTTAGTCTTTGAGGTGTGTAGGTGCTAAGGGCAGATACAAGGTAAGAAAAAACTCAGCAGGTTTTTGCTAATACATTTCCTTAAATCATTTTCTTTTAAACAATAAATTGCAATATTTTCAACAGATCCCCTGTAAGCAGCTTGCAGATTCGCTATGATCAATCAGGGAACAACTGCGGGGAAAACTTGCCCCCAGTAGCAGCCAGCATAGAACAGCTTCTGGAGAGGCAATGGAGTGAAGGACAGCAGTTTTTACTCGAACAAGGCACCCCTAGTGACAGTAAGTACTTATGTTCTGTTCTGGCACTGTTTTGTTACCTGTGTTGCTCTTAATTGCCTCTCAGGTGTTGTCCAAGATTTTTTTAAAGGCTTATTTTCTGTTGTGAGAAGAATTATAACCGTGGTGTTGCATTGCAACCTAGTTCTTAGTGTGGCAGTTGGCTTCAGTAGATTACAGGAGGGTTTTCTATCTAAATTTTTATGGATGGAGAAATTGTGTCATGCAAGAGGAAGTGACTTGTAGATCCAGCTGGTCGACTGCAGAGCTTGAAAACAAATTCTGGACTCTTAAATTCCATACTCTTAGATCCCCTGCTGCAAACCTGCACAACTTTCACAAACTGTGCGCGAGTAAAACCCAGTTGCTCAGTTTGCTTTATTGGTACAGTGACTTTTTCATTTTTAAAATCTAAACTGCCTACTTCTGTTGCTGTTTCAAAATACGTGTATTTATAAATGTCAGGCAAGTGGCCTAGTAGGCTTTCGTATCTTTATTAAGTTCTGTGTTTATCATGAAATTCTCAAAGTAAGCAAATCATTTTTTTTCAAGTTACATTTAATAGGATGGAATAGTCCAAGACCGAGTACGCTAAATGTGGAACTGATGAGTAGATCACTTACATCTCTGTACTCCAGAAAATAGCAGTGTCTAAGGAAATGATTGAATGCATTTAAAAGAAAATTAATACCAGCTTGGGTTTTGTGTTATATTTTATTGAACGTGTTATTCTTTTTGGTAGTGTAAAGTGGTATCTAGTTGGTGTTTTTATGAATGGTATCCTGACAAAAATGCTAATTGTCAGGAAATTCATGCAGGGATAATCCTTTAAACATGATAGCTGGAGGACAGGTTTAGCTAAGTCTTATTGCATCTCATTTGGGCTCACTGAGGGTTCCTTTGTATGTTCTTGAAGAGGAGGGATAAAAGCTAAATCCTTGGGAAATGACCAGATGTGCCTATACCAGTAGACTTATGTCTGTAGTAGGCCCAGAGGTCATGTTAAACAAATACAATTTAGAATTAAAAAAAAAAAAAAAAGGCTATCCCTGTGGCTTTACAGTCACACTCTAGCACTAGTTGGGAAATCCAAGTTCTGAAACAAAGTCGGAGTTTGAAAAAACTGAGCTTGGTAAAGAAAATCATGTTAGGACAGAAGATGATGCCCTTTTTCTGGGGGCCGAGGGGGGGAAGAGGGTGGTAACTGCAGTGCTCACACAGTGCTCCCTGCTGGGTGATTTGTAGATCGACGCTCACAGCAAATGAGAGTGCTCCCAGCAAGGTGTGTCCTGGTAACTTAACAATGGGTGAAATTCTGCCATTGTGTAACTTTGGGATTCCTTCTGCAGGAGATTAAAACCGAATAATGCTCTTTTCACAAGCTTTTGTTTATTTTTACATGCAGTTGTTGGTTGGATGTACTGTTAGTTGAATGCATACGTATCAAACCCTTTCTGTTTTCATGATGTTTAAAATTTCTAATAGTTTTTTCCCAGCTACACTGCCAACCTGTGCTGCTAAAATAATACTGTTCTTGTGTTCTGCTTTTTGGAGCGAGTTATGTACTCAATTTTTCTTAAAGTGACTGTCACCCCTGATGATGAGACATTATCCCATTAAAGTTTTTGTTTTTATTTTCACATATAAATGCATTTGCTAGTCTTGATTTATAATACATAAATTAAAGTCGAGGTGTTACTTATTTTATTTAAATTTAGCAACAATGGTGTCGTTGAATGATTTTTTTTAACAAAAGAGTAAAACTTTGAATCTGGTTGTAAACGATAACATGTGTTTTTATCTTAGTTTTAGGAATGCTTAAATCATTACACCAACTTCAGGTTGAAAATAGGAGATTAGAAGAACAGATAAAGAACCTGACTGCTAAAAAGGAACGGCTCCAGCTACTCAATGCGCAGCTTTCAGTTCCGTTTCCAACAATAACTTCAAATCCTAGTCCTTCTCATCAAGTACATGCCTTTCCAGTGCAAGCAGGTAAATAGAGTGTGAAAGTGTGGAAGAAATTTGAATGATTTATATGAAATACCCATTTCATCTACAAATGCCGTCGATGGGAGATGCATGTACCTATATTATCAGAATAAATATTTTTGTGGGGATTAAAACAAACAAACAAACCCACAAAACCCCAAACCTCTAATGTTTAAAATCTAGTGGAAGACTTGTATAAACCAATACTACTTGTTTCGGTGTGGGTTTTTTCTTCAGTCTGGAGCACATCTGTTGGAATCTATTGATTCACTAATCATTTAGTTAATATTTTACTATTCAGCAGCGATTCTACGGTTGACTTTACATTTTGTATGTTTACCTTTGACATTATTTTAAAATAATTGCTCTGAATCTTCTTACATGTTGCAGAAATTTAATCACTGTTTTTTGAAATAATTGCTTTAGCACCTAGCACCGATTCCTTGAACAGCAGTAAAAGCCCTCATCTGGGAAACAGTTTTTTACCAGACAATTCTCTTCCTGTATTAAATCAGGTAATATTTATTTGTTCCTTCTAAACTTAAACTTGTTACAAGTTAACTCATCATAGCCGTTGTATTTTGCTGCTATGCGAAACTTTATGCAGCTGAGGGGGTTTTGTTGTTTGTTTTTACACCAGGAGATAACCTCCAGCGGACAAAGCACCAGCAGTTCATCAGCCCTTTCCACTCCACCACCTGCTGGGCAGAGTCCAGCTCAGCAAGGCTCAGGAGTCACAGGAGTTCAACAGGTCAATGGTGTGACAGTGGGGGCACTAGCTAGTGGTATGCAGACTGTAACCTCCACCATTCCTGCAGTGCCTGGTGTGGGTGGAATAATTGGAGCACTGCCAGCCAGCCAGCTGGCAATCAATGGAATTGTAGGGGCTTTAAATGGGGTAATTCAGACCCCGGCAACAATATCACAGAACCCTTCTCCTCTCACTCATGCAACCGTGCCACCCAATGCAACGCATCCTCTGCCAACTACGTTAAATAACAGGTAAGAATTTGCTGATTTATGTTTTTCTCGATAGTGTCTGTCTTCGGTTTAGCTGTATTTTTAGCTGCCTTATTCAAATGGTACATTTTCTCCTTTGGCCTTTAATTGTCAAACTAGGTTCTGCTCCTGATCTGTGAAAGAAAATAACAGCATTTAATGGAAGCATGAAGGTTAAAGAAGAAAGGTTTTCTGTTTAGCTTGTGTGAATCGTAGTTCGTATCCATTTATTCTTGTTTTTTAATCGAGTCACATTCCAAAACAAATGTAATTATGCAAATGTGCTTCAGATCTTTTTTTAGTTCAGAAAACAATATTCTTTGTCCTGCCAATTGTTCTTCCAGGATTAAAGCAGCACTGGAAAAGCTACCATTTGTTGCAGTTGTGGGGGTGGAGGGGAAGCAGAAGGGGAACAGTATACGGTCATGTAGTTAAAGAGGTAATAGGCATAACTAACAAGAGTAGTGATGCAGCTGTGTGGTGTTTTCAGTTCTCTGCATCTGACTCCAAAGCAAGAAAACTACTTTTTGAAGTCATATTCCTAAAGGTTTTTAAGTGCATAAAAAGATCCATGTTTGAGTACAACAACCCTTTCCCCAAAACCAGGTATCCTAAGTAGTCTAAACTGCTGCTGCTGCTTGAGATACAAGGTAAATGGGTAACAAAAGGAGACAGCTGCGTTCCAGGAGGGGTTTGAACTGCTTGGTCTGGAAGTATTTTGGGATAGAGCAGACCCAGGGATAACTAATTCACTTAACTCCTGATAACTCCAAGGATAACTCCCACTTCCCTTCCCCCTACCCTCTCGTATTGCCCTGCACTTAGGAAGAACAACCACTTTTCTGTGTAGAAAGAAATGCCTGCAAACAGGGAGTGGACTGCTAGTCTTCGAGTCTATTTTTGGAGATTATGTTGGATTACCCAACAAAAATGCATGTGTGATTGGCATGTGATGGAAGGGATCCCTGGTTTTGTAGCTTGCTTCCATTTTTTCCCCTTACTGTTAATTGGCACTATCTGAATGTTCTTGTACAGTATCACTGGTACTGCTTCGTTAGGCTCACAAACCTGATACTTTCAAATGTGTTCTGGTTTGTTTTCATGTGCTATGATATTTTTACTGAGCAGATTGTTTTTCTTAGCTTCCATATGAATGTAACATTTCATAGGTTAAACAAAAAACATTTCCTTAACGAGAAGATATTCTCTTTCTTATGTAGCAGAGGTCTGCAGAGAACACAAGAATTTTGATTTACTCTCCCCCAAAATCTGAGGAGTTGTTTGTAGTGAGAAAAACTAGACAAAATCAGTTATATTGACATGTACAATAATTCTCCATTTCTGGTCATGCCAAGGTATCACTGGCCATGCTGTTCTTTTCTTATTTTTTTTGTTAAGACACAGATTATTTACTTCTGCTTCTCTGTAGTGCAGAAGATCTTTTGTTTCTCTTTTATATCAATCTTAATTGCTGTCACTCTTGAGTGTGTAGCCTAGAAATAGACTACTCCAGTTCATGCAGAGTATGGAAACTCGTGTACTGCTGGTTAGCTCTCATTCTAGCTTAGATCAGGCTCTAGAGTATTCCTGGCATTTTTCTGTTCTCTCCTACAAAAAGCTCGAGATGGCCTATAACTGTCAGAATTTCCATTTCTTTATCTTGCATGATCTCTATCTGCATTGCTCCCTTAATAACATTAATTTTATTGTGGTTTTCACACAGTTCTCTACTTTTTTGAGCTCATCTCCCCCCCTCTTTTTTTTTTTCTGGGCCCCCTTCCTTTTGAGATGTTTCCCCGTTACTCACAAATTGTTGCTAATTGGATTTTAGTAGTGGTACATACGTTCCTTATCCCCGTTTTTTCCATTAAAAAAATTATTCTGAAAAATCTTGCAAACAAAACAAAACTCAACTGTTGTTACAAAAAAACTATGTTGTGCAGAGACTCTGGTTTGATTTTGGATAAAGAAAAAATGGGAAAAAAAAAAAGAAAGTCTTTTCCATTGGCTGGGATCATTGTTTCTGAAACTCCAGGGTACGCCGTTTGTTCCTGCCACCCTTGAGGTCAGCGCTGACTCAGTGGCAAGTAGCTGGCTGTTCCTGTAGTGTTAAATTCCTCTGGCTATCACTACTCTTTGAACTGCGTCAGTGGGAGGGTGAGCTTGTGAAAAGCACGGGCAGGCGTGGAGCTTTGCTGCTGCGCTGGTAGCAGCTCTCCGACCCTGGTTAGATGACGTGGTGGTGAACGAGCTTGGAGCTGGGTTAAATCACTGTTCCCAAGATGATGGCAAGTCATGCGAGAACCCAGCTCCACTTTTTAACTTTTTTTTTAATATTGTTTTATAATGAAAAGGCCTCCCAGATACTCCTGTAAGTTGCTGTTGATGGTAACTTCCCCAGTTTCAGAATCTGTCCAGTTTGATGTGAAAAGTAGCTGGGTTATTTATTGATACCTGAAAAGTTGTGTATACAACTGTTGGGTATAGTCCTTGTTCCCATGAGCTCTCTGTTAACTGTAGGATGTGGGGAAGCAAGAAAACACTGATTTTGCACGCTCTTCTTTGGGAAAGTTTCAAATGTTAGGTAAAAGCCTGCCTGCATTCAGTAGAGAAAAATACAAGGTCTTTTTGGGGGGCGGGGAGGGAAAGTTTAATGCAGATTGCGTCCTACCTTCAGAGCAACCAGGAGATAAGTGATTTGAGGGAGAAGATAGGATTGTTTCTTCCACAGTCCAGCAACTGGAGAAGGCTGCAGGATGGAGAGGTTCAGAGCAATCGTACCTTTTACTGAGAAGCTAAAAAGGATTAAATTTACATGCCAAATTGATCTGATTTAGAGGAAGGTCCGTGGTGAAATCCAGTGAGCTGCCTTTTCCAGCAGGCTCAGGAGCTGCAGGGTTGTGTCTTCTGTAGTTTGCCTTTGTTTCTGGGTGCATCTCAGTTGCTGGCTGTGGGTATTTTCCTTCAAGTGCCTTTGTAGAGCAGGAGAGGAAAGCAGAGTGGGGAAAACAGCAGCAGAAAAAAATAAGGGCAAAGGTGAAACATGATGTAGGAAAAAAGAGATAATGAGATTTTAATAAGTGGAAAAAAAAAACCACAGTGGAGAAGATTCATTCCAGTACAGAAAAACACACAATAAGTGAGATAAAAGAGAAAAAGGAAGTAATAGTATTAGTCAAGTTGAGGATGCTTATTTTTTTGCAGTTTTTACAAAAACAAACAAACAAACAAAAAACCAACAACTACATTTATTTAAAGCTGACTGAAAGAATTTCAACTGATTGAAAATTGTTCGAAAGAGCCACGTGTAGAGCAAACAGTTCTGAGTTACTTGTATGTGATGTCAGGCCTTACTTTTCATGTCATAGCTCAGGATGGAAATGTGGGAGTTTCTTTGGATGGGTGAAATGTCATCTCAGTGCTCATCAACAACCAAACATAGCTGGAATTATTGGGGATTAAACGGATCGTGCAGTGGACACCCCGTTATGTCACCTTAAATCCCTGCTGTGTCGGCACCTTGAATATCAGGCGTACTTCTGATTACGCAGTTTCTAAAAATGCACGTAAGAAAAAAGCCAAAGAATACAGCGAGATTAACCAGAGGCAAAAGGGTTTGCACAGGACAAGATGAGGAGAATTGATTTATTGGCTTGGGGAAAAGAGCACGTTGCACGAGAGCTTGGAGAACCAGGAGAGTGCCAGACATGAGAGGAAGCGAATGGTGTGAAGTAGATGACAGGGAGTAAGTGTGGCCCAGCACGTGTTTCCCTGGCTCTGGAGCCATGCAGTGAGGTATGAAACAGTTGGTTTGTCACCTGCCCTGTCCCAGTGAGAGAGAATGGCCATGCTATGGGTGTTGTCACACCGGCTGGGTAATACCAAGTAAGTGTCCACATGGAGCAGTGTGATGGATGCTGTAGGAAGACAAGGGAAATACTGTGCCCTAAAGAGCTGCTGATGGTAACCTGGCTGATTTGATTTAATTCCTTCCTACTGCTTGCAACTAGGAGTCCTGGCGGTCATCCTGCACACAGCTCCATGCTGCTACCACTGCTTGTGCCTTCACACGATAGCCTCCTCTGCATTAAGGGACAATCTTTTGGCATTTTTTGTGCTGGCTTTGGTTTCAGCTCGGTTCCCGTGAGATGCAGCTCATTGTGCAAGAGCTAGGGCAAGGGGAGGGGACAAAAATGCACAGCCGAAAGGGAAATACTTAACCTTTCAACAGCAGGATAAGCTTATATTAGCTTAAACCTATTGCAAAACTGCACCTAGTAATTTGCTGGGTGTTTTAAACTAATAAAAGCTAACAATGCTACCAAAAGAATAAATCCAGCCACAGTCCTGATTCTGTTCCAGAACCATCCTTGAGCGTGCTGTTGGTATCGCAGCGAGCTGGCACAGCTGAAGAAACCCTTTATTCACAGAGCAGTTGTCAGCTGGATCGGTTCCCTGCCCTGTTTCGTAAAGAGCTGCGGAAAGCCTTGTGTGGGCACAGAAAGTGGGGCTGGGAGCAAAGTTGTAGCCAGCCTCCTGTCTGTGACAGCATCAGCTGAGCTGCTTCAAGGCTGAATTGTTTGCTAAATAACAGACAAGGTGTAGGCAGTAGTGATAGATCTGAATATAACCGAAGATCAGAGTTGGAAGGAAACCAGGGCAGAGTAACTGCTGGTGAACTTGGTGTGTGCCTTTAAAATCCAAACAAACCAAGCACACAGCTTTATGAACTGTTTTGTAGGTACATAATAAGAGAAAGATTCGGAAGATGATGAATTTGATCAGCGTGTGCTCATATGAGGATACTTTAAGTAGAACAGAGCCAGATTTACCCTAACTGAAACTCCTGTGCATTCCCTTCAGCCAAACTGGTGTAACCCCAGGCTTTAGGAACAATTGCTTGGCTTGCAGTTCTGCACCAGGGCAGTAACTGCTGAGTGGAGACTCCTACATGTTGGCACGAGTTGGCTCTTACACTTTTAATGTAGTTCAAGACATTGCCCTGCCCAGCTGCCTGCTCTGTCTCTGCCTCAGCAACAGAGCAACAGAAACAGGAGAAGGAGCAGGATAACTGCTCTGTCTGCGTGTGTTTTAAAGCCATCAAGACTAGCATATGAACTTCAATTGCCACATTTCTAACTTAATCTGTCAGGCTGTCATTTGCAGTAATTGAGGAGTCAGCACATACTCATTTCTGTCCTCTTCCATTATGGGAGCATTACCTCCGGGTAGGGCTGGGAGTGCTGTCCACTGCAGCATGCTCAGAGCAGTCAGATCAGCTCACGTGGTGAAGTTCTTGTGGCAAAATGGTGATGGGGGTAAGAATCTGCATGCTGTACTTAGCACAGAGCAGCCAGTGCTTCGTAATTTAGGGTGCTCATCAGGTTGCTGATACAGCTTGCCCTGTGGTGGGTGGTGTTTTTAGAAGCATTTGAAAATTGCATCTAAAAAGGAGAGACTGAGAAGCAACTTGAGTGATTTGAGTTGATGAGAGTAGGTCCAAGCACTGGGGTAGGACTGTGGTCCTTGCTCCAGTATTACACGTGAATATGAGTCTGGTGAGATTGTGTCTGTTCAGCTGAGAAGCAAATACAGTTCCAGTAGCAGGCATACCAGGTTTGGTAACAGACATGCAAGCAGTATTAAAGGCTGGTAGGAGCTTCCATAGAAAGGCCACGTTTTAGATTACATGAAATCTAAACTGGGATGGCAGTGGTAATGTCTAGCTATGGATCAAAAATGCCAGTTGACAAATTTTAATATTTGATGATATGTGATCAAAATACTAAACAGGAACTCTCTGTTTACGTAATTTTTTTTTTGTTTCAATGGAATGCTGAAGTAAAAAGTTCTCGTACTTCCATATAAACCGCAGTATTACCTGTCACACCCCACAGTGCCTCGGGACTAGGATTGCTTCCTGACCAACAGAGACAACTTCTCCTCCATCAGCAGCACCAGCAATTCCAGCAGTTACTGAGTACCCAGCAGCTCACGTCGGTAAGTCTTCCAGTTATAATTCACTTACTCCTCTGGTATGGCCTTAGGCATGGATAGATTCTCCAGCCTAATACAAATACCAGAAATGTGCTTAATTTATGTTACAGTTTTTGAAAATCATGCAGTTTGGCAGTTGCTTCAGCCTTTTTGGATGATAGTCATGGGCTGCATCTGCGTGTATTGCTGTCAGAATTGTTGCTTAATGCCTTCGGTCCCATTTCATCCCTTGTGGAGTTGGTGGCTTGTCTTTCTAAGCATTAGCTGTGGGCAGTAGAGTCTGGAGCCATATTCAGGCTCTAGCAATATCCTAAACGAATTCCTGGTAACACTGGGACTCTAGCACAAAAGATTTTTAGAAATATCTCGTGAGCTGTCTTCACTCTGCCTTTCAGTATTCATGTATGCCATAGGTAACTGGTTTAACTGTTCGTATTGCCAGTTATGTAGCTTTAGTGCTCTGATAGAAACATGGTTTGATATTCTCAAAGAGGCTTCCTTTGATAGAGACCGGGGGGAGCCAGCAGGCTTTGCTGAACATGAGCTACAGATTTTGGGAAGCTTTATAGGCACTTCCTTCCCTTTCCCACAGACTTGTGGAGCTTTGCTAGTGTAACCTAAATTAGCTGGGATTAGGTTAAGGGAGGGTTACACTGGCTGAAGATTTGGATAAGCAAGAACCCAGGGAGCAGCTATTATTCTGTAAGTAACCCTTGATTATTTCCCCCCCCTCCCATCTTATTGCTGCAGGAACAACATCAGGCCCTTTTGTATCAGCTAGTGCAGCAGCAGCACCACCACCAACACCACCACCAGTCTGAAGTACAGCAACTGCAGATTACTGGAGGAGCACAGATACCCATCAACAACTTACTTTCAGGCACCCAGGCGTCACCACTAAATGCAGCTTCTACCAACCCATTCCTTACAATCCATGGAGATAACGCGGCTCAGAAGGTGACAGTAAGTATATTTCTCACCTCGTTTTCAAGGAAGTAGCTCCGTGAGGTAACTGAACGATAAGCATGTTACGTGCATGTATTTACAACTCGAGGATGGTGGAATTTTTTCTTTTCTTTCTATTTTTGAAGCCTTGGTCCACAGTTAATAAGGTTCACAACTCATTGTATAAGTGACTATCTTGCAGTCACTAATACCCAGCCTCTTTGCTGCATGCTTCTGTTTCCCTGGATCAGGACTCGTCCAGTGATTCCTGTCTTCCTCTTGTAAAACCATGCGCATAGCCCTTCTCACCCCACCTTATTCCCCAGCTTTGTGTCTCCCATGTTGTCAGTCATTTGTCTCACCACCTTACTTGAAGAGCTTCACCTCAGCAGGCCTCAGGTAGTGTGGAGCTGCAGAGGTTGGTTGGTGACTTGAGAGATGAGGAGCCCATTGTTTGGGCGGTGAAATAGGCATTAAGAGAATGGCTGTGGGTGTCTTGGTTCTGGCATGGGGAGACGAGGCTGTATACTAAGAGACTGAGCAACTCCTCCTGCGCCTGTTATACTAATGAAACCTTTCCTGGACAGACTAAAAAGTAAGATGTTTTTCCAGCAAAGATGTTCCATTTTCTTTAACAGTGCCCTGTAACCTCCACCCCCAAGAGGCAAATTCTTCATTGCTCCTCAAGGAGTCAGAGAATAGACTTCATTCTCTCAGGGTCATGCAATTAAGATAGGTGAAACACAGAAGATAATGTGATGAATTTTCAAGACAGTTTTCCTAGAAACAGCTCCCTTCTGCTCAGAAATGTGAGCATTCACTTTTTGTGTGCGTGGTCGTTGTCACTTTCCAGCTTGGTCCATTACTGTGATGGAAACCATGCTGCAAACTGCAGTACTGCAGCAAGACCATGTTCTTTGCTGGTCACCAAATGGAAGAGCACAAGGGCTGTATCAGGAGTTTGCTCAGTGCTTTGTCTCCTTTTAGAAATGCAAGCGATTTGTTCAGTTATGCTTAAAATTATCTCCCCTTAGTTTTCTGAAAATTAATAGGGAATGGGATTGAGACCATCTACTTTTTTATGTACATTGGAACAACCTGTTTTATACGTGATGTGCTTGCTTTGAGTTTTTTGAAATGGCTATTACTGGCTTTAGAGAACATGACCAGGCAGCAGTTGTTTTACAAATACGATGTTACAGCTGTATTTAGTATTTTTGTAACAGTTACCTGTAAATAATTCAAGGAAATCTCAGAACATCTCCCAAATATAAAACCCCTAGAAATAATTATTTTTTTAAAAAATTGCTTTCTTTTTAAGGTTGTAGCTGAGTTTGCATTGGATTGTTGAATTATTTTAATCCAAAAAGAGTTTTTAACTAATTCTTGATTAGCAAAAGTTTTGAATACTTTAACCTCATTTTGAATTGGAACAGGGTTTTCGAGCATTTCTGAAGCTCAGTGAATGAAGTGAGGCTCAGTTCTGTTCAGTACTTGCAGGAAATAGCAGCTTTGTCACAATTTATGAAAGAAACATATCAGTGACAGGGACAAAATGGGAACTGTATTTCTATTCTGTTGGCAAAGGACAGATTTTACCCCTCTCCAGGGAGTAAAACTTAGCAAAGGTCACCTTGTATTATTCTTGACCATCATGTGGATCCAAGGGCAGAGCAGCAGCCAGGAACAGAAAGGCCTGTTAGAAGGGAAGGTACAAGCAGTTCATGTTTTGTTACGGCAGCTGGGAGGGACTTAAGTCTGAGGTCCTTCAGAGGTGGTACTGCTCCTTTAACTGTTCCGTCCTTTCCCGTCTTTATTCTATGATATTTGATTATTCTTTACAATGCAAAAGTAAATTGCTTATTATTTAGATAGCTCTATTCAATTTACCTCATCTGCTTTGTGTAACATCCATCTCTGCTTTGTTATCTGCATGAATTTGATTGTATTTACCTCTGTATTTTATAATCTGATTTTTAGAAGTATTTTCTCTTACACAGAGGCTCAGTGATAAAACTGGACCAGTTGCGTCAGAGAAGAGTTGACATTTGAGTGATACTTGAGAACTGCATGTCCTGCTGTTATAGCACTTCATCTGGCTGCAAACTGCAGTTTTCCTTTCTGCAGATGTGAAGAAATGCAACAAGGAACTCTTACTGCACAGGAAAAGGTTAATAATTTTCAAAAGGATATTTTTGGTAGGCTTTGATTTGCTTTCTTGTTGCACTAAAATGGATGTACTTTTTCATGTTTCAGACTGTGAAGTAGATAAAATTCTGCAAACTATAGTTATTTTGTCAATTTGATGGTACTAAGTACAAATTCAACCACGGAGAAACACATACTTGACTTTTCAGTACTAATCTTATAAAGGCTGGTAAACTGTTCGCAGTTATGCATTACATCGATTTCAGAGCAGTAGTTTCAAAAAACAAAAAGAAAAAAGAACATCAAAAAAAAAAAAAGCAAAACCCAAACCTAGCCAGTCTGAACCTCTGCTGCAGTTGCAATCCTTTTAGACTATGCTTGTGATGGCAGTCTGGACTTGCTACTTGTTTGTTTTTACACACACACATTTTGAAATCTGACTCATAAGGGAATCTACTTCTGAACTTTTTATTCCTTTAAATCCCGATTGTTATATAGGGGGAGTTTTTCCTGATTAAGAGTTTAAGAATTACAGTATGGAATCCAAAGTTTGTTAATTTTGGTGTAGGTTTTAGAGTTCTGAGGTTTTTAAAGGAACTGGTTTGGTTCCAGTGAGAAATTTTTTTTTTCTTACCAGATGAGAAGGCCACACTGGAAGAAGTATGTGCAGTGTTTGGCCTAAACCAAGTGCCTGTTGCTACCTCTGTTTTGTTGAAATGGCTGCAAACAGCTGATCATGCACTAGACGTGTCCTTGTTAGCAGCAGGAATATTCAGTGTTGCACCAGCAGCCTTGTTGTTCTGCCTTTACTAGAAGTGTTTATACCACTGTAGAGAGCTCAGGCAGATTGTTACCTGGGTCGCTTTTCACTAAGAAACTACCAAAAAAGTGAGTTAATATTTCCCACTAGGATTTAGCAGTGGTTGAAACGGGTGAACTTGTGTTAGGGCACTTCCACCAACAGCAGCTGATTTCCTGGCGTGACTCTATGCAGTACGGTGAAGTAAATTAAATTGGGGTAATGACCACTAATCAATAGTACGGTGGGAAATATTAGAGGAAAAGACCCAGCTGTAATTAGACCTCCACTGTGTACTTATTTGGAAGAACATGTTAATTCTGCAATATGTTTCTTAGTTGAACATTGCACAGTTCTTACCTCATTTCTGTAAATAAAGTTTTGTGAATCTGTTTTGTATTGTGAAGAATTCATAAGAAAACATTGATATTTTGATTTGTAATATTTCTAATTAGTAGATTTAATTGAAAAAGTAAAAATAATTTATTTTTATATGTTCTGGGGAATTTTTTAAAAATGTCACAAATCACTTTTGTAGATACTTTACAAAAGGAAACCAGTGGTTTATTTTACCTTCTCAACCCACTGGTGAATATTCTGTAACAATTTGTACAAAAGGTAAGATGGGAAATGTGCTGTTATTTTGCCTAGATGTAAAATTCCAAGTGTATGAAAAGATATGTACAAAGCTTTTGTTAATAAACTTTAATAATGTTTATAGTTGCATATGGCTTGTGTGAACGTGAGTCTTGTAGAAAACCTGAGCATTTGTTAACATTACACAACGAGCAGGATTTTAATTGCATGTGGCTGCTAAGATTCATTACAATAACTTTTTAAAAGATGTTTTTCATCCTTAGTTTGTGCTTTCAGGAGACACTGATGCAGCTGTAACACTTTCCTGAGACATCTGTGCTCTCCAGACTTGGATGACCAGTTGCAGTCCCATGCTGTGGTCTGATGTCAGAGGTTTCTTTTTCATGCTTTCAGGAGCAGTTGCTGTGAGATTGCAGGAGCAGTGAGCTGTGGTACTTGGTAATGCCCCAAACTCATATTCAAATAACTTGATGAGAGCTCTGTGGAGATGGGACGTGTTCTTCATCTATGGTGGTGCCTGTGCTGACATGATCAAGATCTTTGGGTTTTGTTGTGATTTTTGTACTGTATTTCTATAAAATTAGTTCATTCTTCTTCAGGAATTTTGCTTGCTGTCCATGAAGGTGGTGGTGAACACCAACAAAGCTGCTGGTCTTTTATTTGCCAGACGGCAAGGAGGAAACAACCCTTCCCTTACAGTCACTGAGTCTGAGCTTTGTGATAGCGCAGCTTTTGGCAGACGAGGGATGCTTGGTGCTGCCTTCGTGACTTCATTCCTTGCTAGTCAGGTGCAGGCTGTGGGCTGAGAACAGCTTTTGGAACAAGCAGCAAGGTGGTGCTGCTACAGGGCCTGTGGCATTTGTATGTCATCTCCTTTGCTCAAGTTCTAAGGATTGAATATTCTGTTTCTGAAGGGGAAAACTGAAGTTCGGAAGACTGATAAATGAGCACGCTCAGAATTAACGATAGGGAGATGTGAAACATCCTTTGCCAGAGCCAGGGCCATTGCTAATTCCCCCCTCCTACTGCATAAACAAATACCAAACCAGTGGAAGGGGTAAGCCTTGATTTTCCTTGCCCCTTCCTCTTCTCAGAGTTACCTGGTTCCTGGTAAGATGTAGAGAAGCAAGAAGGGGCCAAAGTTGGAAGGACCGGTGAGACTGCCAGCCTCGGGACCTTCTTACCATCTTCATTTGTCAGAGCTTGGTGCCAGCAGCCTGAGATAGCGATGGCTGTTGTACAGTGCTCCTATTCCTGACGGACCAACAATCAACAGCAGGGAAGTAATGAAAAGGACAGTTCTGACATCTAAACAAAACTCCAATTCGCTGGTCTTTAAAGAAAGAGACCACATCAAAGCCAAGTTCACATGAGGGCCAGATGCAGTCAAAACCAACCTTGTTTCAATGATTTTGCAGATCCTGACATCAAAGATCCTGCTCTGTGGCTGACTTGGCACCAGTTCAGCAGGCGCTGAGGCTGCCGTCCCTGTGGAATGTCTCTGCTGCCAAAGCAGCACAAGCCTTGATGCAGGTCCCTGTCAGCCGAGGCCCAGGTTACCGACGCCCCTCTAAATGCAGCAGGAACTGCTCCAGATTCAGTGCCATGGGATCAGCCAGCTTGCTGCTGCTCCTGCACCTCCCTGGGCCTGTGCTTCAGGTAGGCTGGCTCCTCCAGCCCATTGCGTCCATCCAGGCAGGCCCAGCGCCACGTTTCAGCAGTCACACACAGAACAATGTCACCAAGATCGTGTGTGCCTCTGCTGCTTCAGGCGTGCAACCTGAGCAGGGTGCCAAAATGGCCTGCACAATCATTGTGCAGCCTTAAGGCTTGCTGTCAGATAACCTGCATTGGTCAGGCACAGTGCTGCATCAAGCAGCTTGGTTTGCCTGGCCTTACAAACAAAAAAGGAGACAGCGTTTCTTACCTGCACATGGTGCTCCTCCTTGGGGCCTCTGCTTGGAGCTTCTGGGGCTAGGAGGAGCTGAAGGTGCGGGGCACACAGTGTATGATTTGTGCCAAACACGCAGTACTAACACAGGCAAATCATAAGCAAAGCTCTTAGGTGTCTTAGGTTTTTAAAGATTTCCAATGATAAATGCAGTCAAAGTCCTTATTTTTTCCCCATTCTCTGCCTTAACTAAGCCCACTTGGACTCCAGAGCCACAACCATGAAACGTTTTTGTATTGAGTACATCAAGGAGATGACAGAAGCTCCTTTCTCCACAGTTGCAGATTTATCTCTCCCTAGTGTGCAGCATACACCACCACCACCTTCTGTGCTTCCTGGCTACTCTGGTTTGTAGCCCCTGGATTGTGCTGGGTTCTCCTTTTTTTTTTTTTTTTCCCTTCTGCTTGGTCTACACCTGCCCTGCAGTGTGCTGTATAACGCTGGGTACACCATTCCAGGTGAAGTCTTCTAGTAAATACTCAGTGAGTACAAAGGAAAGTGACTTTTTTTTTCCCTCACAGGCTGTATTCTCCTGTTACTTGCTTTGAACCTGCAGGGCATTGCCAGCTTAATGTGAGTGGATTACAAATCCACCACGGATCCTGTTCTTGAAGAGCTATTACCTCACCAGTTACTTGCCAGCTACTGTTACAGTACTTGAGCTGTTTTGAAGAAGACAATGTTCTTACCCTGAGGCCTGGGTTATTCCAAATTTGGATTCTAATTTGAAAGAAGTAACTTGTAAGAAGATGGTTTTGCAGTAAAATTGTGTAAACTCAGTGCAGCTAAGCAGCACTGGGGCTGTTTTTCCATTTCAGTGGCCACCCCGAGCCCAGCCCCTCCTGTTACAAGTACCCAGAGGCTGGAGCCCCCTCTTCCCATTCATTATACTTCTGGTTGCCACCTGGTTGTAGAAGGCTGTTCACAGCCGTGCTACTCACAGCAGAAACATTTCAATTACCTGGCTAATTTTTTTCATGAACAATACACCTCCGGTCCTACCTCATCCTTGTCAGTGCTGCCAAGTTAATTTTCCCCGATTCACCTAACCACTTTAGCAGGCTTTTCTTCATAGCCATTTCAATTACCTTGCTACAGTCAGCTTACAGTGACTGGATGACTTTAAAGTTAAGCTTTCCTGATTGCTTTTGAAAATACATCACTTGATCTCAGCAAAGACTCCTTTCATAGGAGCCCTAGTAGCACACAGCTACTGCTTGATCAATTAGCACACAGAGATTTTAGTACACCTTCTAAATGCTTGTTTTCCTATGTAGTCAACATTTCCGTTTTGTTTCACAAATAATTTTAAATGCATTACCATGTTTAGTAAGCCTTCTATATTTTCTTTTTTTTGACAGCCTAAGATTAGTTTTTTTAAGAAGACCGAACAAATCAGTATGTTCCACTTGGTAAAGAACCACTACAGAACCCTCTCATCTTCCTAAATTGTAGTCCCTTGAAGTTTTATGGAAATGGGATCAAATTTTGTGAAATGCTGATGTGACAAAAGCAACACAATTGGCAAGTAATTACTGGAAGAAATCTTCAGAATAAATCTCAGAAAATTAAACGATTTTTGGGCCATCAAGCTCTGCGTTTGAGCCTTCCAATTTTGAGTTTTCCAAATATGTGGTCTTCTGATTTTTCATTTTAATTTTCAATTGAAGTTCAAAAGCTTATTAAAATCCTACTATTAAATCAGAATCTGGTTGGTAAATCTTGTTTTTGTTTTTAAAAAAGCAAGTCTTTAAATGCTTTTTGCAAAAGACAATAATCACTGCTCTGATTTATTGATACTGTTTACAGCCCATTAGGTACCCATTATTCAGCACTTTAAGCTTTGTATAACTTTTCCAGAATTATGAAAAATAATATTGCAAATAACGAACAATAACTCTTATTACCCACTCTTCAAATATGAAATCAAACTATATTGAATCCAGCATATATGAAAAACAAGATATAAGAAATCTTAGCATAATAATGTTGGCTTTTAAGTGCAATTCTGTACTTAAAAACTGGTCATGAAGATTATGCTTTAAATATCTTAAAGACCTTTAACCTTCTTACTCATTTCAACTTTACCAAATAACAGCACTACTGAAAATCGCTGTGTATGAGGCTGCAGGTTTAGAGAAGAGAAATTATATAGCAAGTACATGTACAGGGAAGTTAAGATTAGAAACACTCCTATTTCTAAATAGGAGAACGGACATTTTATGTAGCAGCAGACATGCTTTATAAGCATCTTGTCTTGTATTTATAGCTGGAAAAAATTAAAACACAAAAACCCTTGAGTGCAGAATTCCATTATTCTCATGCTTGCTTAACATTTTCAGATCAATTCTGTCTTTCAAAGCACCACTTGAAATTCCTCATATTCTGTATGATTTTAACTGTAAACCTACCCGTTCCAGTATGCAGTTATCACTGGGGGTTTTCCTTAAGATCCACAGATTTTTAAGACATTCTCACGTATGTGCACAAGCAGCTCTCCTGCACAAAAATACACCTTCATTCTTCAACACACAAACTAGATGATGGCAGATTTATTGATATTTTCTTTTACTAAGGCACATGACATATAGAAATACTGAGGTACAAAAATGCAGTTTCCTGCATATGAGTTTTAAAACCCCATTTTGACAAAGACAACCTAAATCTCTTCTGCTCTGAACGTTCAGTTTTTAGCCATTTTTTTCTTTTGTACCAGTTCCACAAGCAGTTTGTATCTTGCTATACACTCCTCCTGAAAGGAAAAACAAAAGTATTAATTAAAATTTGGTATTTTAGTATTGCTTTACCTCTATACATGCTACCTCGTTATAAGAGAGCTGTTCTGTGTTTTTTTTTTCTCTCCCAAAGTTAGTCATGCGATGAATTGCAGAAACATACATCTCCTGAAAAGTGGATTCGATAAATGAACTTTGTTTACCTTTCTTAGCAGGTAATTTCTCTCTTCAAAGAGCACACAAAGCCAAGAAAACATTTGTTCAGTGTTTCTTGACAATGGCTATAAAAGCAATTGTTGAGCAGTTGCATTGTGCTGCCTATTCCAGATCAGTTACTTGGGTATGAGCCGCACCGCAGGTAAAGATGAGCCTTTACGCTCACTCTAACAGTACCTACTGACAGCCACATCAACTTCATAGCCAGAGAACTACTTGGAGCCTGT